TTCTTCGCATTATTAAAAATGCATAAATGCGTCGTTAAATACGTCGTTTTAAAAGTTGTGGGCGACAAAAGACCCAAAAATAATCTTTATTACATAGTCCAACAAAATGTGATTAAAGATGTATAATAATTTCAAAATAATTCAATATTACGAAAACTTTATTGCGAGTATATGAAGAGTGATTTGGCATCCAAAATGGGAATAAGCTGCAAAGTGAAAAGATAAAGTACTTTTTTGACTGTTGACAACATATTTTCACAAACACAACTTCTTCACACTTTTGCATAAATTGGTTTGTATTTATTTTCGTGGAACTCCAGTTAGGAAATTGATAAAAACTTACCCAAACACACTTTTTATACTCTGTACATGAAATGTTCTAGGTTTGCGGGAGCTGAAAATGTAACAGACAGAAGTAGGTGTGGCAGACCCCTCAAAGTATGTATATTCTTGATCAGAATGGCAAGACGAGTCGATCTAGCCTTGTCTGTCTGTCCGTCCGTATGAACATATGAGCTAGAGACACCAAATTTTGCACAAAGATTATTTGTGTACGCTATACGAGTTTGTTTTATTTTTGTGATTTTCCCACCACTTCCCCCCTATGGGTTTTTTTCCGTAACGCCGTTCGCCCATATCTCGGAGACTATAAGACCTAGGGACACCAAATTTTAGTCCAAGATGCCTAATGTGAATACGCAGAAAATGTGTATTTTGGAATTTCCCTCCCTCCCCCCTCTCTCATGCAAATCGCGATTTTCTCTAACTCCCGTAATTCTTGGAATTTCGAACTTAACGAGAAGTTATAGCCATAAATATATTTGCTGCTGTTGATGCTGGTACTTTGGTTGACTGCACACATGTTCACACAGACACGAATAGATGCGAATAGGCATACATACACTCACACAGACGAAATTGCAATGTAAATGTGCAATTATACACCCTTTACGTGAGTTCGAATACCGAGAAAGGTAAAATCGAACAAAATTTTTTTTTTTAATTTTCCTAATTTTTTTTTTATTTTCTTTAATTATTGTAAACATATGTACAGAGTATTTCAAAGTAGGGACATCCGACTTTTGCTTTTTTACTTGTTTTTCTATAAATATTGTAAACATATGTACAGAATATTTTAAAGTTGGGATACCCGACTTTAGCTTCTCTACTAGTTGGGTGCAGAGTATGTCACTGTCGGGGTTATTTACATTTTTATTTTAGAGTAATTAAAAATCTTTTAGGTATTAAAGTTAAGCAAGGGAATGTTAGCAATAAGCAAGAAAACAAAAGCAAATCCGTGACGCAAGTGCTGAAGCACAAAAATTGATGATTAGGCGACCTTGAACCCATGGCATGCCACATGCTGCATGTGTTGGCGAAAGCATTTCGTTTGTTTGCTTTAGCGTACGCTGCACACACCAATAAACAAGAAAGAGTGTTGCAGTCGAGCAAGCCCTTCACTCAAATACCCTGTTCCCCAAAAAAGTTTAACCATTGTAAACTCTCTCTTATGTATATGAGCAAAATCAAAAAGAAGAACGAATTCTCTGCTGCAGTTTAGAGGCATAGTATCGTCGTAAAATTGTATTAATATAAGTATAGCTTAGTCGTTAAGGCTCTTGCATTCCAAGCTCGGTTTATGTGGGTTAAACTAGACAGACAGGCAGACATATCAAGATCGATTAGTCTCGCCATGCTCATTATAAATATATATACTTTATGGGGGCTGTTTACATACTTTGGACGAACCTTGATTGCAGGATATAGAAAGTTTTGCCACTTTCCCCCTGACGCTTCCCTTGGGATTACATGCAAATACGCAAAAATTAAAAAGTTTTACAAATGGTTACGCGAAACTGAAGGCAAAAATGTTGGCACAAAGTTTTTTCGGGCTGATGAAAACAGTAGGACACATACATAACCTTGCACCAAGCAGCTGAAATCCAACATCTAGCTTTGCGTGGGCATCTTACGTGTTGCAACAGTTGCCGTCTAGTGCCTTCTTGCTCGTCTGCCTGCCTGCCGAGTTGCCTGTTGTCTACTAGGGATGTGCGACGTGCTGCATACGTAATGACAACGGCACATGCAACATTGTCTAGATTGCGGCCATGTTTCTCGCCCCTGTCTTTGTCGCCTATCGACATCGTTGTCAAATTGTGTGCAAAGTAAAAACTTTTTGCCAAGGACATTACGTTTTGTCTCATTATTTTTAGTATGTTCCTTTAAATGTTTGTGCCAGTGTTCTGTGTTTTGATGTGTGTGCTCAACACGGAGTTAAGTGCACAAGCATGCCGGCTACGATAGCGGGGCCCAGAGTGCTGGGAAACACCACTCAAATTATATATATACATATAATTTATTATTATTATAAAAAAATATACAAATTGCTAAGTTTTAATAAAATCATTAGCCTTTATACATATATTGTAAAAGCAGTTGAGTATAAGTATCTTATTATATATGTATATCCCATTCGCTTGTGCGTCAAAGCCTATTACCGTATGCTTATATTATTTGATTATACAAAATTTATATACCCTATAAGGAAATGGCAACACTAATGGTGTTGGTTGAAGGTTGAAGTCAGACCGGACTGCATTATCATATAATTGCCACAGGAGCATTATGATTGAGTGTTCTAAAAAAGGGGAAACTCCTTCCCTAGACTATTCTAATTACCGCCACATCCAATTTCTAAGTTAATGTGAAGGTATGTAACATACCTTTAAACTTTAGCAGTGGGTTCGCTCTTCATCTTTTTGGTACTGATATGACAGCATTAATTTAATTTACATATTTAAATTATAATTGACATCGCTAGACTGAAAACTAGAGGCATTGAGGCTTTAACCAATTTGCTAACACACCGTAAGCCATGTTTTGCTTTAAAGGGCTGGTAAAGATTTTTGGAATAAGTTTCATAAATACATCAAGAACGCCAAAATCAAAGAGCATAATGCCGCCACTTGCCTTGTCATCAACATCATCAGCATCGGTGGCAAGCAACTCGAACATAATCTGCCCTTAAAAGCATGCTTCACTTTTTCGTTACACCCACAAATGCATTGGATGTTTTTTTCTTGGATGCTGACATTTGCCATATGTTGCCCGAGAGAGCGTTTGCTGTTGCTGTTGTCGCCTTAGGCTCATTACAATAACAAAAGAAAAAGAGGACAACAAAAAACAACATGAACGCGTCAAAAATTTCATTAAAAGCAGCTCAAGGATTTCTGTTTTTCTCTACTTCAGATTTTTATGTTCGCTCAATGCAGCTGTAAAAAGTTGTAAGCAAAACTTTGTAATGGATATTGGCGCTTTATAGAAAAGAGAAATATGAAGGTTGTGCTACGTTATAGGATTTGCTTTTGGGCTTCGTATCTGCCTGTCATCTGAATTGAAGGTCGTGTTCGTTGACTACAAAAAATAAAACAAACAATTCCAAAAACTTTAGGATGGACATTGCTGAATTGCTTTGAGGTCCAATATCATCCAGAAATATAACTATGTACTTTTCCTTTAGTCCCGTTATGCATATTAATGCACAGCTTATAAAAACCCCATGCCCAACATCATTCTATTCCTTAACATTTATAAGCTTTTTCACAAGCATGTGCATTTTTGTATAAAAGCGAGCTACAAATTTGCGTCGTAGCTATGCTCATATACACTTTATTGTGTTTTACAAGAAACTTTTTTCATCTATGGTAATTGGTAGCGAACTATGTATATATCCTTTTTTTCCGCATTATCTAATATTTCATTATATAGAGTATAGATATATATTCTTCATCAACATGACGACAGAAATCGATCGAGACTTGTCTGTCTGCCTAGCAATCCGTCTGTTCATCCTGGATTTCGGAAACGGCTGGTCCCACGGAAACCACACTTGGTTTGTAGACTTTCTTCATCTCCAGGCAGTACGAGCTAATAGAGAAATAATTTTACTCCAGTACTACGACCACAAAGTTCGCCCTTCCTCTTATTTCTGCTTTTGCCATGCGCCCCAACAATTTGAATTTGTTTATGGGCGTTACAAACTTACGTAGCAAAATCAATATGCACTTACATTTTCCAATGAAGAGTATAAAAAAGGTGATGCTTCATTCGCAAGGTATTATGCAATTTTGCTCGACATATATAAATATGCGCCATATCTGACAGGTGCATTAACGAAGTTACGGCTGATGCGGAAAGTCGGAGCGTTAAAAACGAGGACTGGATAAAAAATGATGTGAGTAGGAAAGCAATTTGCTTGATTATGTGGAGTAGTGGGTTAAGGGGTGAGACAGGGAGAGTTGGAAGCAGAAAGATATGGACTGCCAAGGGGCCATGGAGTAGATGGGGAACGAGTCAAGTGTCGGCTGGCGCATAAATCGCTGACTTGACGCCAAAGCAGATTTGTCGCATAAGTCATGTCAAATTACAAGGAGACAGCGACGGATGTTTAGGGGGGTTGAGAAATTGAGGTATGCATGCTCGTAATATGTGAAGTAAAATATGAAAAATTACATTCAATTAAAGGTGAAAGGTAAACCTAGTGCTGACACTACATGAACCTTTGGAGAGGAAGTGCAGAGCAGAAAACAATAAATTGATTGCAAAAAAAAGAGAAAACGGGATGGAGAGTAAGCATGGCAAGTAATGTATTTTGTGTGCAAAGTTTGTAATCAGCAGGAAATCAGCAAACTCAATTCAAGTCAAATGTCGGGCGGGACAAAGGAACATAGAAGGAAGGTGAGAGAATATAAGTAAGCAGAAGAACTTCCTGCTGAGCAGCAAGTGTTGGCTTCGCTTTAGCGTCTCATTTAAATGAGCTTGTCAAGTTGGATTTTCGGCACATTAATCACGAAGGCGACAGCGTGCGGCGCTTATATTCTGCGTTTAATGTTTCACCCAGTGGGTGGCACCTTGCCCTGCGTCCTATGTCGCCTATTAGCAAGGCACGCAGCCTAAATAAATTATTTTTCATTGCCCCATTGGGTAGGGTTCTCACTTACCTATCATATTCGCGATTATCCTCATCACAGCGATTGTCCTGCAGCTCTCGCCAGCTTTTTCCATGGCGACATGTGGTGACCAACACCATGTCGCGTCCGTTGTGCAAATGGAAGAGCGAATTGCGTGTTTCTGATCCAATCCCATGCACATATCTGCAAGTTAAAGGAAAAAAGGGAAGCGGAAAAATATTTAGTTTAGCTTATCAATGGTCATGGTCATAAACATAAAAGCCGCCAATGCGCTTGGCAATTAGATGCGACTGGCAGATTGCAACGACTTCGAAATCAATTGCTATAAAATGGGAGGGAGAGAGGGGTCGGGAAGAAAGTATGTAGGAGAGATAGCAGTTAAAGCTAAGCACACAGCTGGGCAGCAACGATGCGTCTGCCTGGATAAGACAACGACAAAGACGGCGATGAGGATGACAATGGGAAAAGTGATGGCGACGACAATGAGGACGTAGTTGCACGCAAAACTTAAATCTGCGCTGGCCAAAAAAAGCAATTGAAACAAAAGAAGATACGCAGAGTCAACTAGAACTACGACAATGGCCGGCAGCAAGGAACACGCGCATTACATCCACACAATAAACGTTGTCAAGTGTATGGCAAAACAAAATGGCAGAAACAACATAAGCAACGGCCGCAGTCAAGTAGAAAAAAATCGTAAGACGCTGCGCCTTCGTATGCCGACAGATACATGTGGTTATTATAAACACACACACACACACATACTCGTATATAGTATAGTATGAATGTGCCATTGTGTGTGAGTCGGTGTGTGTGTGTGTGTACGAGTACTGCTGTGTGCGCGCAATTTCCTTCTGCTTGGCTTGCAATTGAGCAAATTTCATATACACAATGAAGTAGGCGGCAGAAGCAGGCACAACAGAAATAGCAAAAGCAGTTGCTAGCCACAGATTTGGCAACGCTGATTTCCGTTTTGGACTGACCAGCAGGAAGGCGAATGGGGAGGCAGCGAGGGAGACAGCCAGGCAGGCCGGAAGGCAAGAGTAAGCTGCTCGCCAGCTCGTTTCAATGGCTTTAAGAGTTAAACCATAAGTTATTTGATTTCATCAACATGGATTCAAGTCGGATATTTGAGTTTGGCTTGGCTTCGCTTGCTATAATGAATGAATGAAATAGCTCGAGGCGACTCAAATTCCATAATCCTAAAGAGATCAAAAGCTCAAATTTTGGGCCCTTTCTTGTGATAGTACGTATGAGTAGACCTTTACAAATTGTCGAAATGGATCTTATAAATAATGTACGGAGAAGTTGTTGTTTTTATTAACCGCAATTATACTTTGGATCCGAAGGGTGAAAGGATATGATTAAATTGCTTAGCTCTTTTTTGTACGAGTATACACATGTCCGTCCGATTATATGAATGCAAGCACCCCCGAGAGTCTTATGCTTATGCTAGTCTTAGGTTCTAAGTGCGGGAAAGCTTATGTTTCCTTTTTTATACGCACATTCAATGTATTCCAATAAAATGTTCATAAGCCTTTGCTAATAAAAGTTCATTAAATTATACACCAGAAAAAGTAATAGTTATTGTATTTGCTTTATAAATAATATTCTAACAGAATTTTAACAAATTTAATACCAAAAATTCACTTTTATTTTTTAAACCAGAAAACCTTCAAATTAATTTTTTACGTAAGCTTCTGCATTTTCTTAACTTATTTAAGAAAAATTAATAATGGGTTGAGCCACCATGGTTAACTATGACTTCATACATAAATAATTTAGTGAAATGGTCTCCCACGCACTTTTTATTCCTTCAATTAGCTCTGACTCAGTTGAGTATTGTTTTCCAGACTCGTATACTTTGCGTGCTAACCATCCCCAAACATTTTCTATAATGTTCAGGTCGGGCGAGTATGGCGGCCATGTCAGTAAAGGCACGTTTTGACGCTCAATCCAAGATTTTACGGTTCTTGCAGTGTGTATGGGGCGTTTTCGTGCTGGAACTTCCATTCCAAGGACCCAAAAATATCATTGATTGCAGGGAAAGCTGTTTTCAATACTTCAGTGTATGTTGTGGCATTCATACGACTTGTAAGAAATTGCTGTTTTATGGTCCCATAGTAAGTAACTGCTCCCCACACCATCACACCACCGGCACGGCTGTGGAGTCGATTTAAAGTATGCTCTTCCTTTCTTAGATCATGAAAGTAGTAGCATAGCCATCTGAACCCTCCAAGTTAAATTTTTTTTTTTTCATCTGAAAAGACGCTCCCTTTCCTTGGTCCAGGCCCGTTGGGCCTTTCGGAGCTGGTTTAGAGGTGTTTTTTTATTTTCAGGAGCTTTAAGTGTTCTGCTTTTGAAATAACTCTTTGTACAGTCCGAACACACGCCATAACAGCTGTTTTTTCTTTAATTTTGGTGGCTGAGTCGTGTGAATTTAACGCGAGCCTCAATATAATTCGCTTGTCAGCTGCTGTAATCACAGAAGAGGGCCGACCTTTCATATTTTTCCCATAGGTATACTCATAATTAAAAATGAGGAAATAACTTTACGGCTGCATTAATTATTTTTGAAATTTTAAGAATTGAGTGACAACACTCTTTATATGTCATTATTTTTGCCTTTTTCGTATCATTCAAAGGTTTAGCTTTCCCCATATTAACTCAATTTAATTGAAAATTGGTTAAGTTTATTGAACAAAAACTTTAAAAAGCCAAATACGACAACGCACTCGCAAAAATTAACACTGAAGCATAAGTGTGCTAATCGGCTGTCGCAGAAAAAACCATGCATTTTCTTCTATCGCTTCAAAGAAAACAGCAAACCAAAATAACGGTACACTTCCAGAGCATAACAGTTATTTTCACAGAAGTGTAAATACAGAAGAATGAATGAAAAAAAATATTGAGCATGATACATATTCAGAGTACTGAGTTATTTGCATTTGCACTGAAAGATTAAAGAGTGTGCATTTCAGCATTTCCTCGTTGCTTGCTTTCAAGCTTGCTTGACTGTGACATTTTTATTTTTGCTTTGTTCTTGGCAGGTTAAAGTCTCTAATGGAAATTTACTAATATGTCATTGATTTACGGTATGATGAGCTAAAAAATTACGGCTTGCGGTTAAAGGACAATCGATGCGAGGCCCCTAAAACAAAAGCTCAATTTAATGGTATACAATTTTATTAGAGGACGTTGGGGATTTGCTGCGCAATGTAAATTAATTTGCAGAGTGTAGAATGGACCAGACAATGTAAATGGGCATGACATTACAGCATTAATATAAATTAAATGCACCAACCAACACTACGACAAACCTAACACACACAGATACTAACAGAATCGCACTTTACCCGTAAGTAGGCTAAAAAAATGCGTTTACAAAAGGACAAATGTGTATGCTCTGCTGTCCCGGCTGCTTTAATGTAATTTATGCCTTAAATTGGTCAATTATGCATTGATTGGGTCTAGCAGTCCTAAGGCTTTTGTACAATTGGAAAAAATGAGCGGACAGAGGCAAGTACCCCTTGTGTGAGCGCCAGCCGTAAAGTGCAATAACCAGGCAAACATTGAACCGCGTCGCTGACCACTAAGCCAAACATAATCTAAAATAATTGAGTATGGCCGACGTCCATGGCGCGCTTTTTCGGCCCCACTCTGAATAATTTATGCGCGCATTAAATGCGCTTAGCGGACCTCGCACAGAAGTGGGCTGAATTCGGGGACATATTTGCGGCGAAAGCGCAAATACATATTCCTACTTACTCGTATATGTTTAACTTAACAAACGAGCTTAACATTTGTGGAGTGGAGCCTTTAAGAATTATTTCCTTCTTAAGCTTGAAGCAGAACGTGTGACTACGTGAATTCTGTTGAAAACCTATAAGCTGATGTTTCGAAACACAAAATGTACCCCGAATACCGAATCCTGTAATAGTTATGTGAATTCTCTTTTCTTTTCAATTAAAAACAAATTTTTGTTAGTATATTAAACTTGTGAAAACTGTAATATTCCACGGGGACAGGGTATACTATAAACGATATGGTAATTAGTTTCGGATTAACTATTACTTACAATCTGAACATTAAAGCCATGAAAAGTGAGGAATGGACACTTTACCATCAAATTTGAATAGGCCTGTACATTAACTTAAAATTTGTTATATTCCCTGTACCTGAATAAGATAATCCAACCTGAAAAATGGTAAACATGGTCAACGTGGTAACACCATACTTACTATTTGATTTTGATTCAGGTTGTAGAAAATTTAATTACATTAATAAAAAGGATATTCGCGAAAGTAAACAAATCGTGAGATGACGAAAAAAAAATGAAAATGAATAGGATTAACAAATTAACGTGTTGTCCAAAGTTTAGAGAGTCCAAACCACCGAGATGGCACATATACAAGTACATTGTATAATGGTGCCAGTCATCGCATGAGGTTATGGGTCCATTAACTTGCCAGTCTGTAAAACTGGCGCAACTTGGACTTGAGAGACTTAAAGAGGCAGGGCGCGACTCAGACAATGATTTCGGTTAACGCGACTGTTGGCATCAGATGTGCGCGCCACAGAGCCAATATGCGGCCATTAGCCTGAAGTTATGCAGCACTCGCTCATTCACTCAATGCAGCGACGCCACCTTTTCTATGGAACTTCAAAGCTTTTGTGACAATGGGCCACCATCCGAATGGAGAAGGGGCATCGGGGTGTGGTAGCAGCAACGACATAGACGTAAAGTTGGAAACGTGGCGTATGCGCCATATCTTTATATCTTTATGTGCCTTTCCGTATGTGTGCCAGGCATAACGTAAAAATTGTGTCGCCGGCTCACAATGCAGCAGAGCAACATCTCCCCCGGCATTAAATCAGAGTAATACACACACATTTACGGATATACACAGTCACACAGATGGCCAGGTAGTAAAATGCAACTTTACTTGGCAACAGAACAGTAAGTAAATATATTTTAAGTGCAGTCCTACAAAAACTGCAACATCACGAAATAGTCTATAAATGGGCCAACAAAGAGAATAATGATAATGAGGAAATAGTCGTATATAAGTAGTATACGTGATATATGTGATGCCAAGAAACTGTAATAATCAATCCCGATGCCACAAAATTGTGAAATGGGATCTAGCTATAAGTACAAAACCTCTGGAAATAAAAAGATG